ATAAGAATAAGAAGAATAATAATAAGAAGAATAATAAGAATAATAATAAGAAGAAGAATAATAATAAGAAAAATAAGAAGAATAAGAATAAGAAGAATAAGAATAAAAAGAATAAGAATAAAAAGAATAAAAAGAAGAAGAATAAGAAGAAGGAGAATAAGAAGAAGGAGAATAAGAAGAAGGAGAATAAGAAGAAGGAGAATAAGAAGAAGGAGGAGAAGAATAAGAATAATAAAAAGAATAAGAATAAAAAGAATAAGAATAATAAAAAGAATTAAGAATAAAAAAAAAGAATAAAAAGAATAAGAATAATAAAAAGAATAAGAATAAAAAGAATAAGAATAAAAAGAATAAGAATAAAAAGAATAAGAATAAGAAGAAGAAGAAGAAGAAGAATAATAAGAATAATAATAAAGAATAATAAGAAGAATAAGAATAAGAATAAGAATAAGAATAATAATAAAAGAAAAAGAATAAGAAGAATAATAAGAATAAGGAGAATAATTATAAGAATAATAATAAGAATAAGAATTAGAATTAGAAGAATAAGAATAATGAGAATAAGAATAAAATAATAAGTATCTTAAGAATAAGAATAATAAGAAGAATAAGAATATGAATAATAAGAATATTAAGAATAAGAATAATAAGAATAATAATAAGAAGAAGAATAATAAGAATAATAATAAGAATAATAATAATAAGAAGAATAAGAATAATAAGAATAAGAAGAATAAGAAAAATAAAAAGAATAAGAATAATAAGAAGAATAAGAAGAGGGATGACAATGAGATATAGACAGGGCAACAAGAACAAAAAAAAAAACCTCTGTTCAAAATTACACAGAATGACAGACACCTGAAGATTCGTCTGAATATTAATAATGGTAACTCCTCAATCCCAGAAATATGGACAAATTTTATTTCTTTTCAGTAACAATTTAGTTCAATCTCAAAATGGATACTGTACTTCTGGGTATAAAAGCCACATGTGTACCAAATTTCATTTCACTCTGGTATTTTTGCTGCCTGTATAAGGACTTTTTCTAAAAGAATACATGAAATTCTTTAAGAAAATCTGTTTCTTGCATTCAAAAAAACACAGATTATGACAAGAAATGGAAAAGAAACCAATATCATTACCTTTATAAATACTTGAACCATGTTGAACTGCTGATGGATCCAATTCGTCATGCGTTAAGAAGGCACGAATTCTAGCCACAGACACTTGAGCCTAGGAAAAAAAAAGGCTAAATTTGAAATTCTGCAGAAAAATAACAAAAAACAAAATCCAAGGAAGGGATTCCCCCCCCCCACCACCACATACTGTCTTTTTCTTGTGCATAATATGACTTGATTATAATATGACCCTGTGTTTCTGATGCTAAAAACATGGAATAAATTACATTGTTGAGTATAATGTGACACCATAATAAAGCCATCCCTATATAAATTTTTTTGAAAATTTGTACAATATTATCCATTAAGATCTCAATGTTGTTCATATATTTCACTAAAATATTTATTTTTTTATAATACCAAAGAACAGAAATGACCTAATGTTTAGCCATTGCATAACACTCTTCTACCGGTCAGTGTTTGGTCAAATGCAGCTGCAGGCTGTTAAGTTGGTTACTTGGGTCTAAACTGTTGCTCTGCCCACGTTGTGTTGATTGATCACAGAATTGGCAAAGACCAGATTGTCATCAGCAAATTCTTTGTACAATTGTTGTATATTGCTGCTGGACTCAAATAAGGCAACGCATAATTATATATAAAAATTATATAAATATATTTATTGTTTGAGTTGTGGTGATTGGGTAGAGTGAGGGAGAATCCCAAAGGTTAGGATTGTACACTCAGGAATTGACAGAGACAACATCTTCAGTGAAACTCTAGCCAGCCTCTCTCCCAGGCCAAGAGTTGGACTATTTTTATAACGTTTAGACAACCATGCGAGTTCAGGTGGCTATGCCTTCTTCCAGTATATCATCTACACAACTTCTTGTGGCCACACCTCTTCTGGCCATGTGCCCATGCAATTCCTACTGCAACTTATGTGCCTTGTTTTTGTTTGTTTCATTGTTTTTTCAAATATCATGACTTCAAAGGCAAGCTTCCTAATTATATTTGAAAAAACAATGAAACCAACAAAATCATAAAAACCTTCTGAAGCCAAAAGAATTCAGACATTGGATATTTTAACTTTCACTGGAATCCAGAAAAAAAATTCTTTAATGAAGAATTTTTGTTGGTTTTTAACTAAATATGTATAAATAAAATGTTGCTGCTTAAATATACTTAATTTAAAATTTGCTATATTGAAGCATGAAACTGACACTCATCATTCAGTGTAGATTCCTATGTCCACATTTTCTAAATCTATAAATGCTCTATCTCCAATACTGAGCATTCTTCCCTTATAAATATAGCAAATTGTAAACAACATTTCTATAAAAAAAAAAAAAAAAGTTAAAAAAATCTAGGAATGTTTGTAATTTAGGAATTAATTTCATGTGGATTCTTTTAATCTGGAAGATCCATTTAAATTTAAGCACTTGTAGCAAGAATTTTGAATAGAAATTGAAAGCTGTAGTAGGTCTTACTTGAACGAGGCTTGATATCATGTTGGGTAACATCATCATCGGAAAACGAAGAATATTGAACAAGGACAGAGCAACAAAAGCTTTCTCAGCATCAAGGATGTTTTTCTCATCGGACAGAATGTAAACCATAAAAGTAAAAAGTGAAACCTGAAAGAAATGCAAAAGAGACAATGAGGTAGAAGTAAGATTTACAAAGATTAAATACAAAAATAGAAACTGCACTTAAAACTTTCCCGTCACCACCATAACATAGCCTCCCTGTGCCTTTTCTATAAATATTTTCATGGTAATTCTTCTGATGAACTTTCCTCTATGGTAGGGTTGGCAAATTGTAGATACAAGAACTAGTTAGGACTACATAGAGACTCTGAGGTATTATGGTGGCTGTAGTAATAATGCTAAGTAAAAATATGATGGTTTGGTGTAAGGAATACTGTGGTATGTTTGAGTAAGTAATTGTGGTGAGCTAAGTTTAAGACAAGACAGATTCAAAACCAGCCTTCCCCTATACACCGTTTTGGCCTTGTGCCACATTTTTGTATTATTCAAAATAGATATTAGTTTCCTTTATGATACCTAGAATTTATGAATTTAAGTGCAGTACTAGATTGGCAGTTAGGTCTCATGATCTTACTGTTGAAATGACTAGACGCAACTGTAAGTTTTATGCTAACAGTTTCTTCTTTCACACTTGTCACTTGTTGAACTCTCTTCCAGCTTCTTGATCCCAGTCAACTTTCACCTTCAAAAATATAAATGCAATGTTGTTAGCTTTTGTCTCCTTAATTCCTAATTTGTTTAGTTTCTTGTATATAATTTGTATTCATTGTATATATTCATTGGGGGTTTCATTTTTAAATGTTGTTATTTTAAATGTGAGCACTTAAGCTTGCTTTGAACTTTTCACATTTCATTTCTCATCTTTTTTTTTGTAATATGCCCTGTCAATATATTTGCTAATATTTCCCTGTTCAAATTCTATTTCTTTATTTTTCTTTGGAATTACATGAGGCCATCAAAAATTGGTAGCATGTCAAATGTATCAAATCTCATCAAAAGTGTTTATACTTGTTACAGAAGGAAGAAAGTATTAAAATTTTTGATCTTATCTTTTTTTTCCAAATAACAAATGAAAATTGTGTGACTTACAAAGACAGGAGTACAGTTCCAAGCCAAAGTCGTTCCAGCATTGAGGTAGGCATGTTTTCTGAGGATTTTTACCTCTTCATTTCGAATTCTCATGACTTGTTCTTTGAAAGAATTTTCCCATGCATACAGTTTCAAAACCTTGATGTCAACAAATAAAAGAAATGATATTACAACATTTTTAAAAAAATTAATTTAAATATCTAATGAGAATTTAAATTAAAAAAAAGAAACAAAAGTCTGCAAATATTGTTCTTCAACAGAAAAAAAAAAAAAAAAAAACTGCCAAAAAAAAAAAAAAAAAAAAAAAAACTGACCAAAAAAAAAAAAAAAAAAAAAAAAAAAAACTGACCAGAAAAAAAAAAACTGACCAAAAATAAAAACTGACAAAAAATAAAAACTGACAAAAAAAAATGCATTTAAAAGAATTTTACAAACATTTTACAAAAAGTAGAAAAAATTCTTGGACACACATGCAAGACACACAAAATATATCCAATGTTTGGTCAGATTTTTGGAAGTACCAAGCAGGAATCTTTCACTGAAATGCTTAAAAGCAAAAGAAAATAACCTTTGAAGTGTTTAGAATATTAAAATAAAGAAACAATATCTATTTATATACAGAATTCTCTGACTTTCATTCATCCATCTGTCCTTCACACTGTCAATTTATGGCCATTTTAGGCCATAAAAAGACCGATCGAAACCAAATTTGGGAGGGGGGAGTACAAATAGGTAAGGGGGATACAAAGTACAGTTGGTTTTACTAAGGTGTGTAAAAACTGCAAAGTAGGATCTTTGTCAAAGTATTTTTCCAAACAAATCAACTTGTTTGAGTAGGCAGATGTTTGGCATTTGGGTAAGGTGTCTGGACCCTCATGACGGTTTCTAAGCACTCCATCTTTGTGCAGATGAGAACTTCATTGTTTGTGATCCGGTCCTGCCACATGTTCTGCAGGATTTGACAAAGTTTTATTTGATGGAATCTTTCAAGTTTGTGGATGTCACTTTGGAGAGTACCCAGGTCTCACTGATGTACAGGAGAGTCGAGATTAGAACAGCTCAGTAAACCATGAGATTGGTGGTTTGTGTTAGCCTAGGATTGCTTCCCATATGTTGTGTCGGCGGCCTTGATTATCGATGTCTTTTTCAGTGGATGCATTTGATGCTAGTACACTAACACTACCAAGATATGGAAATTGTTCAACATTCTCCAGGTCCAGTATGTTGATGATGTTTTGACTCCAGGTGTTGGTTGATGTCCAGGTTGTAGTTGGAGCAGGACTTTGGTCTTTACCACATTGATGGTGTGTCTGTAGCACATGTACGCTCTGGAGAAGTTGTCTGCCGAGTTCTGGAGCTCTTAGAGCTCATGGGCCAGAGTGCAGTTGCCATCAGCGTATTAGAACTCTGTGACATGCGTTTGTTGTTAGGATCCTGGACTGGACATAAACTATGTTGAAGAGGCCACTATTGGTGCGGTATTGTAGGTCAATTTCAAGGTTGTTGTCTGGAATCTCCTGAAACATTGCCACCAAGTAGATGGAGAAAAGGGTAGGAGCAAGTATGTAACCTTGTTTCAATCCCCTTGTGATGGGGGAAGGGGTCTGAAAGGCTGTTTTGATGTCAGACATGAACCATCATCCCCTTGTATAAAGCACCACAAATTTCTCGGGCCATCCATAGCGTCTGAGGACTTGCCACATGGCTACTTTTGGAACACATTTTTGGAATATTATTTCAATATTGTAAAAAATAATTCCTAGGGGCTTTTGCTGCTCTCTTTACATTTCCTGAATTTCTCTCATTGAGAAAATCATATTGATGGTTCCTCTGTTGGCTCTGAAACCACATTGACTTTCAAGGAGGATGTCCTCTGCTGACAAGGTCAGGAGACGACTGACAAGAATCCTGGCAAGGATCTTCACTGTGATGGACAGGAGAAAGATTCCATGCTAGTTTCCACGAACACTTCTATCTCCTTTCTTGAAGATGGTGATGATATTCGTGTCCTTCAGATCTGATGGAACTTCCTCCTTTTCCCAAGACTCTGGGGAGGCGGAGGAAGGTTCTTGCTTTGAGAGGTAATGTGCTATACTTGATCAGTTCTAGGGGAAGTTATCAGACCTCGGGGCTCTAAAGGATTGGATGGACTTGAGTGCAGCTTCAAAATCATGTTAGGTAGGGTTGGTAGACATCCATTGTTGTACCAGGTACTGTGGGGCATGTCCAAGGAAGTCTGATGCAGCAGTGGATTGGTTTGGTTTGGTTTATTTTGTTTTACAGCATATCAACCTCAATGGGTTATTTAATGCTGACAACATTTTTAGGATAGATTCGTATGAATAGAATATGTATTCTTTGGTTTAGATTGGATTTGTTTATTTTGTTTTATCAACCTCAATGGGTTATTTAATGCTGACAAATTTTTTATTGCTGGTAATATTTTGTTTAGTCAAAAATCTGTTTCTGGTAATAATTTTTTTCAAAAAAGTATTGCTGGTAATATTTAACTATTTTCCCCATAGGTGGGACCCCAACAGGTGCTACCATCCCGGGTCAGGGTGTACCTGGGAACACCAGCAATTAAGAGGTTGTTCTACGCTCCTCAAAACCTTCTGATCAGCAGTGAAGTCATAATTAAGAGGGGTAGGGAAGTGTTCTTGCCATCTTGCTAGAATGTCTTGAGTCTTGGTGAGTTTGATGATGTCAACAGCTGCTTGGATGTAGACTTCCTGACAAGACCAAAAACCTCCTTAATTCCTTTGAAGAATTCTCTCATATTTCCAGTGATTTGGCATGGTGCAGAGCTTCAATAATATAATAGGTGATTTCTTTTAACTTTTACCACAACAAATTCTTCCTAGAATGTGTCCCCTCCTGCCACTTCATTTTTTTTTGAGGGTGTAAAATGGTTTTACAATTTTTATAACTTTCTTTGTATTGCGCATATAGATTTTATTTCTTGTATGCAAATAAAAGAATGGATGAGTAATATTTTGATGTAATGCATTACGTTTTGCATGCATGTTTAGATATTTGAAACAAAATAATTAAAACACAAAAATACATTAACAATCTAACATACTTTAAATTTTATTGCTCCTTGTGGAGTTCTGGGGTGCAGTAAGAAGCAAAACAGCTAAGAAGGCTTTTATTTTGTCAAAACAATGACCTGCTTCCTTGTGTTTACATACGAGTATTTGTATATATACCAGCATTTGTTTGGTTTTTCTTTCACCTGACTAGTATATTTGTCTCATGGTAAAGTAAAGATATTATTTTGTTGTTTATAAATATACAAAATAATTTACCTTCAGAAAGGCTATCAGGTACATCCAATGGGCCAGTAGCATCCATAAAATTAGTCAGTCATGGATGATAGTAGCTGCTCAGCACCTAGTGATCGTCATACCTTTCCTCTCTATTATTAGCATCATTATCATCTCTGATCACTTCCTTGTCAATATCTACTTGAATAAAACCTTCAAAATCTGATTCAAGAAAAATTCCTGAATAAAGGCTTCATATGATGTTGATGCAGTCATTTTTGTTTACAAAAAATTGTAACAAAATTAACTTGAGTTTGATTGATGTTACACCTTGTGTAGAGTGTAGAAGAATTAAAAATGGTCTTGGAAAATGGAAGTTTAGCCTCATTCCAAAGCAGTAGTAGGCTATTTCCAGGTTAAAATAGCGAAAATAACAGTCGACAAGTGTTTATTTATAGCAACCGTCTTGAGGTGACAGAATGCACCTGGAGCAGCAAAGGAAGAGAATTTCACAATGACAATTTTTGCTTCCAGCTAAATGTTAAATAAAGAGCAATAAAATGGTGTAGCATTGATACCATCTTTAAATTCTTGTAATAGCGGTATAATATGTGGAACAAAGTATATTATAAACCCTTTAATGACTGGTGGTTATCATATATAGTGCAAAGTCTATCGCATAGAAGTACACTAGATAAGTGGTTTAATTAGACACTGTTGTAAAACAACCTTTATTTTTTGATGACATGGATGCACTATTTATATATACATATCTTATGGGCACCTTGACGTGGTGTAATGGTTAGCAAGCTTGTCTCGCTAGAACAATTACGAATGAGTAGTGAGTTTGATCCTCACTGGGTGTCCCTTACTTTTAGCCTTGTGCCACATCTAAGCTACGCTTGGAAAATCAATATATATATATATATATACATATTTTTCCTGTAGCACCTCCAGTTGTTAGATAAAGTGAAATTAATAATACTCATAATTATAGAATTCCTTTCAACTAAAAATATTTATCAACATTAATTTGAATTTGAACTCTTATAGGATTATGCCCATAGTGTATGAGGATTGGCTGAAAAGTTCATAGGCTGACCAAGATACTGTTATGGAATGTGGCCAAAAAAGTTTTTTCTTAGCCCCCTTGAGTTCCATACATTTCTTCTGTCATTGTTTCAGTGCTTCAATCCCATTAGGAAAGAAGCTTTCATCCTGTTGGTCAAAAAAGTCAGATATGACATCACTGTGATACTGGTTACCAGCCAAGTGTTTTTTCATATTGCGGGAACAGATGATAATCAGAAGGGGCCAAATCAGGAGAACAGGGAGAGTAATCAACCAGTTCAAAGTCATAGTCATGCACAGCAACCAATACAAGACCCCTTTTTCAGTTTTCCTGGGTATATGGTCTTGATAGCCTTTTGTAACTGCCTCAACAAGTTGGTATACATCTATTGATGGTGAGATCTTTTGAAGATAGTCAATAAACACAATGCCTTTTGGCAACACCCAAAACTGAGGTCATTGCCTTCCCTGCAGATGAAATGACCTTGACCTTCTTTGCTGCAGGTGAGAAAGTTTTTTTTTTTTTTTACACATGGATTCTCTTTGTCTGTAGCTCAAAGTGATGAACCCAACAATCATTTTATGTTAGGAAACAGCCTGGTGCACTTTTGATCAGGTGTCAGAAGACATGGCACCCAACTGAGAAGAAACCTTTGTCATGCCAAGTTCATTGTGCAGAATATTCTCAACTCTCTCATGGGATATGCTCATAGCATAAATTCAGCTGCCCACTTCTGCACTGTCGATAAAGCTGAAGCATCATCTCTGAATGTAGCAACCACGTCAGCATGAATGTCCTTAAAGGCTAAACCTGGCAATATGAATAGACAGCATTTGAACCATTCAACAAACAAGGCCATCTCCCCCTCAAGGCAGACCAGAACTCACTTCAATCCCAAGCATAACTTAATATAGACTAGCACCCAGATACGACCTATTTTTGGTTTTGTTGTCACTTGATCTCTCGAACCCCCTCATATACACTTTTACTTACCTGTTTCCATTTGGTCAAAGTGGATGTCATTTAGAAAACTAGCCTTCAAAAAAGAACTACCTGTTGACTATTAAACAGAAACACCTGAGATTTCAGTAAAACCATGTCTTCCTTTTCTACGTAGGTGTTCATAATATCATAAAAAAAAAAAAAATTAGGAGACTGAAATGACTTAAGGTTTTCTTGCATTTTGATTCTTATATAATAATGGTTGAATTAAATCTTGGCTTTGTTTGTAAAATTCAAGAGACTGAGAGGTAGTCCAGACCAGGAGAATTTATTGACCTCAGTGAGTGGGTATTTATAGATTTTACAAGACAACAAAGCTACTGACTATACTGTGGGGAGTAAGTAAATGCTTACCTTAATACCATTTAGAACTTCATTCATCATTTTCATTCTGGCATCCTTTAATTTCATTTGCTTCATCTACAAAATATTGAAAGGAAATTAGTCTTACTTTTCTGTCAGTGAATCAAAAGAATTTGTATTTAAAATAGCCGTCTATTTTAAATACAAAATTTAAATACTGAAAATTGGATTGTGCATGAAAGAGTTCTGTTACTGGAGATATAATTCATGCCTTGGAGAAAATTTAGCTATCTTAAAACACTAAAATAACCATAACTTATTAAATAAGAGAAATCAATTGATGGTCACATGGTAGCATAAAAGTACCTGTTGAAATACATTGATAGATTAATTTATATTGTAGATTATAATCTTTCCATTTTTAATTTTCTTCTGTTGAGCACATATAACTTTTTTTATAGCTACATTTATTTTAATGCAAATTTAAAAAAGACATTAATCCCATATAATATATGGATTGTGCCAACATTGTGTTAATCAGATATTTTTATTAAAATTTAAATTATGTAATGGACAGTTGCTATTCAGCACCTGATGATTCTGTTGTGCATGAAACTCTTGAGTCATGTTACTGCTGAGGAATATATATATAAGTTAAAGATCAAATGCAGATCAAATATGGATTGGAATTCAACAGGAAGATAAAATAAAGAATAATTAGGAAACATATCAATCTAACAGGTTTTACTTTTATTAAAGCTTTGTCAGAGATTGAAAGAAAACAATCTCTGACAAAGTTTTAATAAGAGTGAAACATGTTAGATTGATACACATTTCCTATTTTTAAAGAACAAATAGAAAACTTATATCAAACTCATATATATATATATATATATATATATATATATATATATATATATATATATATATATATATATATATATATATATATACACACACACACACAAAAGGCTCAAACAGTAATATTCCATGGTTATAATTTATTACATTGGAATCGTAATCACAATTAATTGATCAGACCTACAAATTTGTAGGTCTGATGAATTACAATTCCAATATAATAAATTATAACCATGGAATATTAGTGTTTTAGCCTTTTATATTATAGTCTTGCTCTGTCTTGGACATTGAGCTCTACCTGGATTCTATCCTCTTAGAAATATATATATATATATATATATATTTTGGCAGCATGTCATTATTGAGGCATGAGCTGTTAAAGACTATGGAACTTTTCGATTTAATTATCTTTTTTTCTGTTTTTTTTTTGTTCCTTTCTCACAAGTTTTTTTATATTTGGGTCAAAGTTGCTGAAAAAAAGATCCTAGTCCTTGGTGTTTTGTTGAGCACTTTTGGTTGTCGTCAACCATTATCATTGCTGCATATTTTGGTTCGAAGTAGGTTGTTTATTATTTTATTTTTATAAATAATATTGTGGGTATTTAGGCAGTATTATTAGATTATTGGATTAGTTCATTAGCAATTGGGAGCGGTTTGGTATTTATCATTTGGAGGATTACTTCTTAAATATGTTTAAGATGTATCTGCCAGTATTAAATATTTTATTTATGTTGGGTTTTTGGTTTTTAATGATGATGCTTTCAAGAATTTGTAATTGTAATGCAAAAAATGATTAGAAATTCTTTTGTCTATGAACTGATGTCACCAAGCAGCCGTCACATGACGTCATCTTGAGCCAAGGGAGATAATCGCTTTTTGCATCCATACAGAACATTAAGGTTATATCTGCTAATTTTATTTTGGTATCCAAAAACAAAGTCATTTTAAAGCAATTTATGGATTTATTTCATCCAACATTTATGTTATAAACGTTATATTTAGTGTTTTTTCTATACATATGTGTATAATTTCAAATAGGCTAGAGATCAAAAGTTTTTGTGGAGAATGTGTACATTCACATAAATATATACACAAGTTCTTACAAATGTAAATAAAATAATATAGGCAAGAGAGACTTACTTGTAATTTTTTGACAGCATTTGTGAGGTAAAGGTTGTATGGGATGAGAAGTGCCAATACCCCAACTCCAGTCAAGATAGCTGGTCCCAGTGTGAGCCATAGAAAATACAAAGCAATAATAATTTGAAGTGGTCCTGACCAAACTGTGTTGATGTAAGTCATGAGATCTTGGAACTTCTGAGCATCAACCGACATCAAATTTACAATCTCTCCCACTGTTGAAGTTTTCCGGGCAGAATTTGATAATTTAAGACTCTGTAATAATAAAAAAGCAAAACAAATATTTGTTTTTCAGTAATTAATAAATTATATTGTACCAGAATGTTGAACAGTTACGGTTCAAGCAGGAGTTTTTCAAAGTGAATAGTTTTACATTTTCTCTGTCATTTGAAACATTAAGAATCACCTTAAAATTACATAAACAAGATTAGTTAAGATTAATTATAGCAAGTCGGTTTCTGGTTGTTTCCCATCAGTTGCTTTACGTAGCATTTTTCAAACTAGGTCTGTGTTTCCGTCGTTTCGCAATGATATATTGCCCTACATCAAATTGAGTAATTTAGTATATGAGTTTAATTGCCAGTGTGCTGCTGGTTATGTGGGGCACAACCGTGCATTTGGAAACTAGAATCAATCAGCATGTACCTTCAAAATACGACTTGGTAAGATAGATAAAAATATATCTTCCCCTATGAATATGGAATCGACTATTGTTCAACACTTAGTTGAGAATATAGCCTGCGCCAAAAATCGTATAAAAAAAGAATGGTTTAAAATTATTCATACAGCCGATTCCAACAATCATTTGAAGATTTTGGAATCAGTCTGCATAGGATTAAGGAAACCTTCACTCTGCCAGCAGAAAGAATTTGTAAAGTCTCTTACTCTGTTGGGGGGATATTTTATTTTAACTGTCTCTCGCTAATTTATTTACACGTTATTTCCCCTCCCCTCGTTACAAGTATATACACTTGTTTGTTATTTTAGTGTGTTTCCCCCCTTTTTTGCTCTTCATTGTCGTTAATATTCTTTTCGTTAATTAATTATCCAACGATTGTCCCCTGATGAGATGTCGGTTGAAAGGGCCTTAGAGACTTTTAAAATTAAAATCAATACATTCCTTGTTTTTAAAACTATATATAAATTTTGTACCTCTAAGCATTTGTTTATATATATGAGAGAGAGAGTTTGTCGGATGATCACAAAAGTGTGAAACCCAGGGTCACAAACTAATATCCACACAACTGAATGTGTTAGCTCTATCACTGATATTGTGCATTTTTCACTAAGTAGTACACACACATATATATATATATATATATATAGGGTTAGGTAAATGAGATAACTAGATATTAGTGACCATATATGTGCATGCTGGTAAGCAAATAAATAATTACCAAATTTAGTCAAGAGGTGTAGACATAATAGTGCTCAATGTGATTATTTTTTAGCTCTCTCTAGAGCTAAAAAAAACATGGCATGAAACTCAAGTCACACACCAAACGTAATATGTGTGTGTGTATATATATATATATATATATATATATATATATATATATATATATATATATATATATATATTAATTACCTGGGCCTCACTGCATGTCACACTTTTTTTTTTTTTGTTAAAAAAATGAGAACTGATTTTAAATCATTGTTATAATTTATGGAGAAAAATGATGCATTTCAATATTACTCAATGATCTTGCCGATGTGACCTCCATCTTCTGGCTTTCTCTTTCTATATTTTGGATAGGAGTCATTCCATTGTTCAAATTTAAATTTAATTTAAATGAAAGTGACAAAAATTTTCACTGGAGGGTTTGTGCTCCTCGGCCCGCCCCCCTTGATCAAAGTGAAATATACTTATCCAAGTACCCTGGGTGATATAGTTTCAGAACATATATGGTTATGAGTATCACCCTCCAAAACCCTAGGAAGTGTTCAATAATAAAGAGACAGACAGAGGCTACAACTCTCTCTCTCTCTCTATATATATATATATATATATATATATATACGTTCTTTTTATAGATACAAATATTTAAGTAAATGCTCTGTTTATAATAACCAGTATTAACAACATTTACCGTTCTGAATATTTACTTAAATATTTGTATCTATAAGAAGAATGTATAAACATAAAAAATGTCTTAAATAATTGTTGGACTTTGTCCAGTTCATATATATATATATATTCTTTAAAAATTAGGAGATCATTTGATTTCACTAGCATGGTTTGAACCTTACAGTATCCTCAGGTGATTTTTATCAATTGACCTTCCAATGCTTTATTTAAAAAGACAAAAAAAACAAAACAAAATTAGTGAGGGACAAACTTACTGACATTTTTTTCTGAGTTTAGCTTGCTATTACTTCTTTACAATGTTAAGCATCCAGGAAAAATAATGAGAATGCTACTGTAATATTTTGATGTTCATAAAGAAAAGAAAAAAGAAAAAAAGAAGGGATTTCATAAGTGGGTTGGGGTGGGGGAGAGAGAGAAAGAGAGAGAGAGTTAATTGATTTGTTTTTTATGGTTTATCAGCCTTTTGTGGGTTATTTAAAGCCAACAATATTTTGTATTATAATTATTTTTTCTCTCTTTTTTTTTTGTAAATGACCATCGAATTAACAATTTTTGAGAATAATGATGACTTTTTCAAGATACAAGTTCTACTATTTTACCCATAGTTTGGGGAGCAGAAGATGAATTCATATTTTTCCCCCATGGATATTTGCACGCAATTGAATGTAAAGAGCCCAACTCCAATTTCTCATTCGAAGCTGCCATACATTACACCACTTGTTCATCCTGAGAGAGATAGATAGAGAGAAAATGACTAACCTTATTATAGACGGCAGAAACAATAGTTGTTCTGAGTTTCATACCCACAGTCAAACAATGGTGGAAATATTGGTGTAAAATCACAGATTGTAATGTAGAACATGAAAGCAAAGCAACAGCATACAAGAAACCTTTCCAGAGAAATTCAGTCTTGTCACTGGTGAATCGAATCAACAATCTGGAAAAGAAAAAAAAACAAAACAATAGAAAAAGAAAAAAAACCAAAAAAAACCCGAAAGAATAAAAAGAGAGGAAGTGATGGACTTCAAAATTAGGATTTATGGTCCATCAAGATATATATATCATAAGCCAAGGAATATCTTTAAAGATTTTGTTTTGTCTTGGCAAATACATTTTGCATCCAAAATGACTATTTTTTATTAAATGCTTGTAAAGTATCTAAAAAAAAAAAAAAAAAAAAAAAAAAAAAATCTACACAATGGAAACAATAAATATTTAAAAAAGTAATAAAATGAAATTAACATGATTAAAAATCAAGATGTGTATAAATTTACCATAATGGTTAAAAGAAAAGTCTTGGAATTATAAAAAAATTAATTATATATAATTTAAATGTTTTAATGTTATTTTAATTTTTAAGGTCATTTGTGCTCATTTCCATTTTTTGTCTGAAAATGTTGATTGTATGGACGAATGTACACAAGATAAAAATGGAGGAGAGAAAAAAAACAGGTTAATTGAGGGTGGGAGATAATACAGGGTGGGAATAAATAGAGGGAGATAATAGAGAGATAGAAAGAGACTAGAGGGTGGCAATAGAGAGACAGGGAGAAAATAAAGAATGGGAAGAGAGAGACGGAGAGGGAATAGAGATGGAGAGAAAACATTGAGAGAGAGTGATAGAATACAGAGAGAGAGAGAGAGAGTACGCGTCGTTATATGCATGGCGTCAGAGAGAGAGAGAATACCTTGGCGTTAGATTATATGCAGCGTCAGAGAGAGAGAGAGTGCGATATGCGTTATATCGCCGCGTCAGAGAGAGAGAGAGCAATGTCGTTATATCTTGTGGCGTCAGAGAGAGAGAGAGAGAAGTATGCATTGGCATATGTGTGGGAGATGATTGTTTCTGTTTCAGAAAGGTTTATTTTGTGTCCTATTTCTTGGAACACTTATTAAAGGATGTTGAATTTTGTATGCAACTATGAATACCTCTATTGCTGGCATAGCCCAAGCACCCCCACTCCTCGTCATTGGCCTCAGGTGGGAAAGCAGGGATCTTCTATTAATTGATTCATTCAGGATACGGTACGAAATGCTTAAATAATCAGTGCACATCTCTTCACATTTAAATGGTAAAATTTTAAAAAAAAATGCGGACACTTACTTTAGAAGGACTGGACTTGAAAAGAGTAAAATATCATGAATGAGTTTATAAAATGCAGCCAAGAGCATTTTGTCTCCAAATGCTTTCAGCAAACAAGTCAGCAGTTTGGCATTGTATTTCTTGTGCCCACTGACAATTTGGATTTCGTTGTCATAGGCTTTCCCATTTTCCACCGTCTTTAAATGCACTTGTTTTTGCTCAGAACTAAAAGAAAAGAAAAGAAAAATTTACATTCACACATTCTTTATGTGCCAAGTCCCCTCAGGATGTAGGCGATCATGGCTTTCCAGTTTCCTATCCTTGATAGCTCTTAATAAATTTTGTCTTTGTTATTTCTGCTAAACCCTTTTCTCACATACATTTACTCAAGATTGCTAGGTAGGTTATATTCTGTTTACCTCTGTCCCTCTTCACTTCAATCTGTCCTGTGAATATCAAAGTTTCCAAGCCCTCTTTCTTCATTATGTACCATAGAAACATCAACTGTCTCTTCCTGATGTTTTGTTTCCATTTTCTCTAAGACATCATTATTGTTCATATATTCTATACATATTTGCAATATCCTTCTGCAGAACCATATTTCTGCTGTTTCAAGGCATTCATAGCTCTTCACAATTTCCTATCCTTTGAAGCTCTTAATAAATTGTCTTTTTGTTATTTCTCCTAAACCCTGTTATGTCATCCATTTACACAAGCTCATTAAGTACGTTATGGTTTGTTTTCCTTTGTCTCTTTTACCTTCTTACCAGTCTAACTTGTGAGTATCAGATTTCTCAAGACCTCTTTCCTTATTCACACCAAAAAAAAAAAAAAAAAAAAAAAAAAAAAAAAAAAAAGTGATTTTATAAAATTTTCTTTCAAAAAGGAAAAAAAAAAAATTTCCAGAGGAAAACATTTTTTAGGAGGTTTCCAGTTATTCTTGCTAATAAAAATAAATATTCCTTAAATTCTGATTTGAATTTTATTTAATCTTAAAAAAAAAAAAAAATGCTTTTGGCTAATATATCTGATGTGAAGTCGAAGTTTAGCACTAGTCAGTCACTAAGCTTGCCTTCCTCGTGCTACGTTAACCTCAGTGACGAGTTATATAGGCTTTCTCTTGCACTTATGCAAATTAGGCATATTAATTTGCCAGTATCACTACAATATCATCAGTCATCAAAGTTAGTTGCTGCTTTATTGGCCTTTTCATTTCCCTGGTTGTCAATGTGGTTTAGTATCCCACATAGGATAATATTTTTATGTTTGGAAAGAAGATTTAACTTGTTTATAAGTTTAATGAGGAGGGGATTTTTGTTATTCCTGTTTTGTAGCAATATAAATACAGATTTAGAGTCATAATAGATTATGGTTTTATTAACTTAATCCTTTGAAAGGATTTCTAGTGCTTGATCTACAGCTAAAACATCTGCAATGTAAATTGAAGAGTTATCTGGTACTCACTTCATAGAGTTGATATCATTTAATATGGCTGCAGTTCCGAGTTGTGGACTATAATCATGACCGAGGTCAACCTGTACTAATATCAAATTTGGAATTTGCTTTAAAGGAAATTTTGAAACTGATGTAATAGATAGAGAGGATCAACTTTGTTTCTTGTTGACACGATGGATTAAATAATAGACATTTTTATCAAAGAGGTGTGTAAAACTTTCTTGAATCAATCGCCTACAATTATCAACCACTTAACCCATTTATCAGCTCTGATTGTTTCAACTATGGATAAATAGCAGAACAGACTAGGTTCAATAGTCTTGGCTGGCAACCAGTCTAGAAGAAAGAAAACTGAATTCAAACCAGCCTGGAGACAGGTGTAAGCTTCCTGTCCTGCAGTAGATGTAGTGTTCATACAACCCTAAGGGGGGTTTAGGGTTTTCTGATTGTCAATATGGTTGTGCATCTTACCTTGTGGCCATTTTAAGAACCATCTGTATATATGTACAAGCGGTTGAGATATGTATTTTTAATACTTATTTTTATAAATGATGGCATTAATATGTATTTTTGACACAGGCTATATTCTTTCTAGTGTTCTGCAATGCATTTAAATAATTTGAAACTGCAAAAACAAAAAGACAAAATAGCCACATAACCATATCTATTCATGTTGCTTAAAATAAAAATATAGAATGGACACATACGTGCATTGGAGGCAACAGACCACAAGATACGCATGCGCATTGGAGGGAACAGACCACAAGATACACACGTGCATTGTGTGTCAGTAAAGATGTTAAAGAATGAAAAATAAACAACAAAACCGATGCTTCTTGCAGATGAAACCAAGGACTGTGAGTTCAATCCCTATCCTAAACAGTTTAGAAAAGTTCATTTTTTTCTCTGAATATGAGTTTGGGATAGAACAAACTGACAGACAATATTGCAGGAAAAAAAATACAATTAGCAAATTGTCATGAGACAAAAGAGTAGCGAATTTATGAGTTCAATCTCTACCAAGTGTAGTGCACTTTGAAAAATAAACTAATCTACAACCTTAAACAAAATAAAAATGTTCTGGAAGGTATGACTGAAGTAGGCTGGAGAATGTACCTAACGAAACATTTTCATCAAAACAATCAAGACAAGGATGCTAATTAATAAGAGAAGCTGATTTTACAAGTATGCATAATTTTAATAATTGAGTGTCAGCTGTTATATACTTACAGTTTATATTTTTCCATTTCTTTCGCCCAATATCGATTAAAATCGACAACAATGTGTGATGAAGTAAGGTAAGAACTTAATGACCACAAATCTTCATTTTCTAAAACTTTACGATAACCTCTGATCACCAATCTGAAATTAGAAAAGCAAATAATGAAAAAAAGGGTTGATGGTAAGAAAATGATAATTACTGCATCTTCTAGATTTACATACATTTAACATGACAGTGGATTTATGGAGGGTTAGTCAAGGCACAAAGCAATGGTCTGCTACAGCATCTGCGTAAATATTTTTTAAGCAGTGATTTTTGGGGAAGAGAGAGATTTTTATATATTTAATATTTTCATTTTAATTACTGACTCCCATCAAGATTGACAATAGAGGTAACAGCTTTTTGTCATTATGAAGATATCAGATGAAGTGGTTGTTGGAGAATGTTGGATCTCACTCACTTTCTCTTCTCACATAGCGGTGACACCTTGTTATTTAGCAACAGTTTAAATTCCGGTCGAGTTCATTACATTCGCTTATATACTAATACCCTTGGGAAAGATATAATTCTAGCTTTTCCCTTTAGCTATGGGTATATAGCAGGACAGATATAGCCTTGGTTGGCAACCAGTCTTGTAGAAGAAAACCTCTGACTTTTAACCAATCTGGAGAGAGTTGGGTTGTTTTGCCCAGTAAACACCATTGTTGCTATGGCTGCAGTACGTGTGGTGCCCCTTAAACACTAAGTGGTTACGGATTTTGTTTTGCTATAATAACTCATTTACATTAATATTTTCATAAAACAATCATCAAAACAATGCATGTTCTCGATTAAATTTTAGCAATGTCGACCCTGGTCAGTACCTGGATGAATGGCTGTTTGGCAATACCACATGCTGTAAGATTGGATGTGTAGGTGGCGTAATGGATAATGGCTCAGAATTGTCAATCAGAGAGCCGAGTTCCAATTCAAATTGAGTTCAATGTGCAAATACTCTTTGGAAAGGTATGAATCCACCTCTTCTTCCCCCAGCTATGAGTTAATAAGTAAGACTTGTATACCTAAACCATTATTATCTGTAAAGGAAAAAAATTCCCAAGAATCTAACCCTAAGGAATAAAAAAAAAAAAAACAGCCACCTACTGTGGAAAAATCTTCTGCCTAGTCAGTCAAGAATTAAAATGTACTGAAATCTTCCACGTGTCATTTCCTTTGTCCAATTACCTGTTGCGCTTACTGAAGTTAAGCAATGTCGAGCCTAGTCAGTAGCTGGATGAGTGACTGTTTGGCAATACCACATGCTGTAGGATTGGATGTGCAGGTGGTGTAATGGATAATGGCTTAGAATTGTTAATCAGAGAGTTGAGTTCTGATTCAAATTGAGTTCATTATATTCATTTATGTACACTTTGGAAAGGTACGAATCCACCTCTTTCCTTAGGTATGAATTCATTAGTAAGACTTATCACTAGATCATTAGTATCTCCCCCCCCCAAAAAAAAAAACTCTTACAATCAAAAAAATATTTTCTGGCTTTAAATAACCTGCAAAAGGTTGATAAATCATAAAAATCAAATCAAATTCTAACACCCCAGTTTTATAATTCCTATTTACAATCAAGTGTGAAGGGTGGATAAACTTGACTTGTATTTACAGTCTTAAAAAATATCTCATGATATAAAATGAAACATATGAAGAATGTGTGCTCAATAGACTGCCCCATTTCATTGAAACTTTTGTAACCTAGAAAGGGTTACTGAATGAGGAATAACCAAAACACAGGTTAGAAATGAAATGGTAATCATTATAACATCAACAAAATACAATACTCGCCAGCAGTGTGAAGTAGGTAAACCACTGCTAGTGGTGAACTACTTACAATAGTGTCTAATGTATTTATGAGGATTGGGACAATGGGACATACCCATTATTGTTCATAGGTATGGTATATAACAGAAATGGACAATTTTTGTAAAATAACCAGTCCCTGCTGTGAATGAGTTTTTTTGCTGACCCAAGGTACATTCTAAATCACCAGCCAGGTGACATGTGCCTCATTTAAACTTGGTCATCCAAGTCTGTAAGGAGCAATAATACCCCTTATCAGACAAAGCACCTTTATCAGATCCTTGTAAATGGTACCCTCATTAACACATAATGTCTTTCTTGACAACAGCCAGGCCAGTCTGCAATCAAGAAAGAACTCAGTGCTTATTGGCATTCATGATAGAAGGAACACTTGTTTTGAGAAGGTCTTGCTAAAAAAAAAAAAAAAAAAGCATCGCTTAGATGTGACACAAAGCTGCAAGTATGGGACACTCAATGAGGACTGAACTCACTACTCAACTGTAAATGACCCAGCAAGATAAGCTTGCTAAGCATTACCCCGCATCAAATGCTCAGAGAAAATTACTACTAGACTGTGGCAGAAAAATTAACAGTTTTTAAAACTGTCTACTCGATTTTCAATGCTTATGATTGGCCAGGAGTGAAACAGATTTGCATGTTCACTGATCAAAAATAATGGTCAAGTAGTGGGAGGGGCTTTTTGTTTCTCCCCATAAAATCAGCATGCAACAGGGGAGTGCTTTGGCTATTTTCTTCTGTACCCATTAATACTTGCAATTTTTAATTTTTTAATTTTTGTATTAAAAAAAACACCCCCCACAAATAAAAAAAAAACAAAAAAAAAAACAACAAACAAAAAAACAAAAACATTTAAAATAACAATATTTAATTCTAAACTATATACCATTGCAAAAAAGGAAATAAAATATTTTCAAAACACTATTCACCCATCTTTCAATATTTTTCTTGCACACTTCTGCAGAACTGCTACATTGTGGAATAGACTCCTTAGAGGTTTATTCCCCAATCAATACAATCTTAACCTCTTCCAGTCTAGAGTCCAACCACTATCTAGCCTACATACCCTCATTATATGCACCCCCTACAATGTAAGCTCTACAACAAATTCATTTAGTAACACTACCTTGAGTGTCTCTTGGGCCTTGTATTGGGTGAACAATAGTTAAAAAAAAAAAAGAAAAAAGTAATTTCATCTCTTCTTTTTCTTGCAATATTTTCTATGTTTTTATGTAATACATATCACAGATGAGTGACAGTATTGTTTGCAGAGCTAGTATCATGTCTTCTGACAAATTGGCATTTATTATTAGTGATAAGAATTGCTGATATTAAGGAAACTCTAAAGAATTTACTGACACATAAATGGTATAAAATACATTTTTCATGTCAGAAGAATTTATACCAGTGGCTCTCAACCTCTTTTTACACATGACCACTTTTAATTGTTTTGGGTGGACCCCATAACCAATCAATGTAAAAAAAGCTTATTTTATTTTTTCTAATAGGTAAGTTTAGGAATTGTATTATAGAAATAGTAAATGTATATGCTTCCTTTATATATAATCCTTATATATTAAATTAATTTTATTATTAATAATTTATATTAATATTTTATTAATATTTAAAATTAATATTATTATTTATATAATAAATTATAATCTTTATATAATTTTCCTTTATAAGCAATGCTCTTCTACTTGAATTGAGCTCTCCTAGCTACTGATGTCTTTTGCATAGTGAAGACGCTAAAATTTCCCTTTCTCTCTGCAGTATGACAGTAGCTTGGGAGAAGAATCTCTGACATGCCAAATCAGTTGGGTTTTGATTCCAGTTTGAAGCAATCAGATGTCTAGCCACACTGATGAGCTGTGATACAGTAAAACAGTCTGTACGTAGATATATATATATATATATATATATGTTAAGAAATGGACAAGGTCCGACAATTTATTTATTAAAGACAATTTTTATGTTTAACGTTGTTATTTTATAGATACAAGTATTTAAGCAAATGCTCTGTTTATGATAAACAGTATTAAATAACATTTACGGCCTGAATGTCGAAATTTTCATAGAAAATATTGGTTTCTTTGACAGGATTCGAACCTGCATCCTATCTGGAACCGTCATATCGCTGACGTGCCTTTACCTCCTAGGCTACAAAGAACCAATCGGTAGACAAGGTCGAATTTTCTTATAAACTCAATCTTCCAAATCTCGTACATTCATAACTGCTCTGGCGTATCGAATGTAAACGAAAAATTGTCTTTAATAAATAAATTGTCAGACCTTGTCCATTTCTTAACATATGACGTCATTTGTTTACATTCGATACGCCAGAGCAGTTATGAATGTACGAGATTCATGGAAGATTGGAGTTTATAAGCAGTAAATTCGACCTTGTCTACCGATTGGTTCTTTGTAGCCTAGAGGTAAAGGCATCAGCGTATATGACGGTTCCAGATAGGATGCAGGTTCAATCCTGTCAAAGAAACGAATATTTTCTATGAAAATTTCTCGGACATTCAGGCCGGTAAATGTTATTTAATACTGTTTATCATAAACAGAGCATTTTCTTAAATACTTGTATCTATAAAATAACAACGTTAAACATAAAAAATTGTCTTTAATAAATATATATATATATATAATAAAAAGGCTTAAACACTAATATTCCATGGTCATAATTTATTCCATTGGCACCTTGAGTAGAATAGTTGACCTTAACCAAGTCGGAATTTATAGAGATGACGGCTTAATCATTGTCCCAAATAGCAATGGTCCCTTGACTTCCAGCTTACATAAGAAGATAATTAGGGCCTTCAAATACTTAGGCCTTAAAATTGAAATATCTTCCAACCTGAAAATAGTCAACTTTTTGGATATTACACTCAAAGATTCCAATGGAATAAATTATGACCATAGAATATTAGTGTTTAAGCCTTTTTATTATATCCTTACTCTGTCCTAGACATTGAGTTCTACCTGGATTTTTTCTGAAAATATACATGTATGGGTATTTTTATATATATTTTGCATATGTATGTATGTTTTCCACTAATATTATCTCTCTCTCTATATATATATATATATATATATATATATATATCTATATATATCCTTTATATATCCTTCTCAGTTTTTAGTCAACTTTTACAATCAAAACAGCCGGTAGAGTTAGGGACACTAACTTACTTGCTTGATCTCGTTTTCTGCTAGTTTTAAAAGTGTTTTTTATTTTTAGTATTTTAATATGGTGTAGTTCTCAGTTGTAACAACCATACTGAAGTAAAATGGCCATATGGACCACTAAAATATTACTATTGGATCCTCAATTTGTTGTTTTTTTGTTTTTTGTGTGGACTGCCAGTAATGTTACATGGACCTCTCAGGATCCATATGGACCCTAGTTGAGAACTTCTGATTTATACAATGGCGCTTAAAAAGTTTCTGTATCAACAAGAAAGATAAGCAATCAAAGTGAGAAAATTTATGAAAAGTGTAATCGACACAGTTAATTATTACTTTTAATTTAGTTATTACAGTTAATGAGAAGTAGCTTAATGGTTATCATCATGGGAAAGGGAATTGGAGAATCAAGTTTGATGTCTAGCTGTGTTTGCTTTTATTCATTTTGAACTTCTGGAAAAACACTAACCTAATTCTTTTTGTTTTGCCTTTATAATCAACGTTCTATGGTTTTTTTTTTTTTTTTTTTTTAAGGACAGGTGTTGGGATGCATGATGGAGCAATGGATAGTGGCTTAGATTGAGGAATCGGAGAGCTGAGTTCGAATTCCAGTCAAATCCATTACATTCACTTACGTGCTAATACCCTTGGGAAAGGTATGAATCCTCTTCTTCCCCCAGCTATGGGTAAATAGCAGGACAGACTGGGTTCTATAGCCTTGGATGGCAACTGGTCTACTGCAGAAAGAAATGGCAACCTACTGTAGGAAAAAATTTGCCTTGTCAGTCATGTATCAAAAGATACATGATTGCCTAAGTGTGTATCATGCATGGCACATAACTGATTGTTGGCCTCGACTACTAGTTTCATTTGCACAATTGTCAGTTTGAAGTGTCTTTATATCCACCAAGGCAAACCTGAAACATTAAAATCTCAGGTAGCTAGCATGCACACTAACAGAACACCCCAAAGTGGGTACAGAGATGCCTGGTGCAAGATGGTAAATTCAAGCATTTCCAGTCAAGATGTTAAAGCAAATCACACCCCACAAAAAAACAAATTGACACCAAAAAAGAAAAGAAATGTCATGCCTAGTAAAATACTTCCCAAGAGATTTGAGAACATTTGTTTTTACAATAATGTCCACCTGATACAAGGCCCAAGAGCCACTGGAGGTAGAGAGTTAAAAGTAAGAGGTAAGGGGCACAGTTTTTGAGGATGTGTGGGGAAGATAATACTTTAAATAAGTAATATTATCAGATATTTTGACAAAGGTCTTGTCCCTGGAATGTCACACTAATTAGTAGAGAAAAGAGAAAGAGAGCACACTACTGTCAGACTTTCCAGCCCAGATAGCAGAAGTAAATGGCTGTTACACCCATTGTCAAAGCAACTGCTGTAGAGAGACAATTAATTGGGTCCCATGAACCACTATGAGTGAAACTGTATCCAGTTTTGATTCTTTTGCACTACAAAAGAACAAAAATAAATTAAAAAAAAAAAAAAATCTATCCTTCTTCTAAATACTTTAACATTAAGGAAAAATATAAAAAAAAAAGTTTTGTTTTAAAACAAATTGATAGGATACTGTAACTTTGAACCAATTTTGGGTAAATTGTGTGGGCAAATGAAAACTTGGGCCTTTCCAAAACTTGTCACATTGAATCAAATCCTTTCCAATTTTACAGGAGTCAATCTTAGCTCACTTCCAATCAACAGTGGGCTTAAGTTTTGAGGGAAACACCTTAGCAATCAATAGTCAAAAGCCAAATCTATAGAATATATATAAAGATTCTCACTTACCCTGTGACCCACCAGAAGGAAATTTTGGACAAAAAGGAAGCTTTTTCTTCAGGGCAAACATTCTGAAAATAACAAAAATATTAAATTAATGGAAAAAGATACCATCTAGACATACAAATATATGCAGAGGTACACACAAATAGATGTACAGAGACACTATATGTGAATACAGCTATAAGAAAATTAATCTCTATTAAATGGGAAATTGCAAAAAAAAAAAAAAAAAAATGCACCTCATTGAAATATCAATTATGGTAATTACAGCTGATGCTTAGAGAAAAAAAAATTACAAATACTTAGCTTTAACAATCAAAATAAATTGCTAAATAAAAAGAATGTTTTTCGAAAATGTAGACATTAATATATACCTACCATATTTGCTTTTTGCATAACATGCATCCTCACATAAGATGTCCCCCTATTTTATAAGGATAAGCCAAAGTTTTAGTTAAAAATCTTGTTCTTTTCTGAGTCAATGAAATTACCATAAAATCGATGATCTACACTATTTTTCAGAAATTTGTAATCAAAAGTTAAATCCTCCATCTAAAAATATTGTAAAAATCAATTATACCTTTTCCAAAAGTTATTTGAGGAAAATTAGAAAATTTAAAGTTTATTCAATATATTTGGAAACAAATATTACTTACTTTCTTCACAGAAAAAATGCAGTTTAAAATAAGAGAAAGCACGTCTTAACAACAGTGACTATTGACAAGCAATGAGTGATTGATCAATGTATTGACAGCTAATGTGAGGGGAAGTTATCATATGGAAGAACAGAAGTGATGTAATTTTCTTCTAGTTTAAGTTGTTTTTTTAAGTTTAACCAAACCAATTTATTTACTTATTTTTAATAACAAATACTTTTAGCAGGCTAATATATTTTTATTTAATTTAGTGTTAGTTGAAGATGCTTTCTGGAAAAATTAAAAATACTGTAAAAAAAAAAAAAAAAAAAAAAAAAATTTTAAATTTCATAACTGATGAGAGTGAGAAAAAACTTCATAAGAGAGGTATCAATAATTTTTATATACATCTCATGAAATTTTAGGGTATTATTTTTATTTTATCTCCATTATTTTTATTATTAATTTTTATATTGTTTATGAAAAAATATAACAGAATACAAAAATAAGACCATATAAATTTCATAATTGTAGGTTCCCTTTTCATATTTGAAATGTTACACATTTTTTAAGGTGTTAATTTTTTCCATATTTTTTAATCTTATGACAGTTTTGAAAATAAACAATTTATTTCAATTAATTATTCTTTTACTTTCAAGTAAGTTACTTGAAACTAAAAAAAAAAATAATTGAAGACTCTTGCTATAAGACAGTACAAAATTCATTTTGTATTTATGCTTCCTATGGTATTCCATACATTTGAAATAAAACCAATTTAATGGACATAAGAAACAATGTAAAATTATATTTTAAATACTGGTGGTTTGAAGATTGCAATAAGCTTTAAAAATTATGATCTGTAAAGATAGATCTACTTAATATCACCATTGGCTAAAAGGCTCAGTTTTGATAATTAAACTTAAAATATTTAACAACTCTAATGTAAGATTGTAAAAAAAAAAGAAAAAGAAATAACAAACAATTGTAAAAATACATTTTTCATCGAAAATTTTTTTTGCCTTCAGACTATTATCCTTATTCATAAAAGCAACTACAAGCTTTTGAAATTAAATAACTTCTTTATTTTATTGGGGTTTGTATGTTACAATTCAGAGCTGATTTTCAGTAACAAGTGGTTTGATTTTTTGTAAAAAAAGAAAAAAGGCAAATAGTTTCTGAAAGTTTCATTAAAATCTGACAATTTTTTTTATTTTTACAAGATTTTCCAAATTAATGTCTGTAACTGCAAAAAATGCACTAAAATTTGCTATGTTATTTCGTAGTTCTGCTGAAAGAGAAAGATTTAAAAAATATATATAAATAAATAAAAAATTAGAATGTTTAAAAAAAAAAACCAAAAAAAAACCCCCAAAACAATGAAAAATTTAATAAAATAATCAAAAAAATACTTTGATCTTTCCCTTTAATAATAAACATTTTAATGATGAAACTGATTTCATCAAGTTCAAGGCCATTTTTATCATGCTATGCTCTTTTTTTTTTAGCAAAACCAGGGAGTTACCTATAATTACATGACATGCAGACAAGGTAAAATATTTCACTATTACCAGTAGTATACAATAAGTGTTAAATTTTTAATCTTTTAAATGGTCTATTTATTGAAACATCTGACTGGTTAGGCCTCCAGGTATTACAACAAACTTGATCTTTATTTCTCCAACTTTCCTCTTAAGCTCCATTTTATGAGCCCAGAACTGGTCTCAAACTAATATGGCAGGTTTCTTTAATAACCCACCAGGATTTCTGGACTACACAATTTCATTCCTTCCTAATCCGTCAAAATATTTCGGATGGACATGAACATAAATACCATTGGACATTCATTCTTTACGCAATGTTTTTCTTTTTAAAATGAAAAGCAATGTGGCAGTTCTCTTGTCATTGGTGCAGCATGCTGAGACAACTGTGTAATTTAAGTTAAGTTATGAAAAACTTGGTAATCTGTATGGGTAGTCCCAAAGAGGATGGGATCCTGTGAGCTTAATGTAAATCCAAAGCTAATAAAAGTGTGAATTTTCATTTCATCTTTTGGAAGTGTTATCTGATGATCCAGCATCCCTTAAAAGGACTCTGGTGAAATAAATTATTATAATGGAACCTTAAAGTGGTCTGTTTTTTATATATATATATATATATATATATATATATATATATCAAAAGTATATAATTGGTATACACGGAATGAATTCCAATAACCAACAATTACACCATCACTTGATAAGACACAGAGTGTGTTGAAACAAAATGGCTATTTTGTAGTGATTTTATAACATACTTATGTTATAAATTTTTTTCTTTTTTATAAAAATAATTATATATATATATATATATATATATAGTAAAATAGTCATTCAAAAAATAAATAGTTAATGTAATTAATGCCAAACTCACTTCACTAACAGATTAAAAAGGCATTAACTCACTGTCCACTTACTGAATGATTAGATGTTTGGTCCATATTGCTTTCAAGTACTTTTGTTAAAACATTTACCATCCTCAGGCATAGATGTTATTTTTTTTCTCAATTTCAGATAATTTTGGTTAAAATTCTAAGTTGAAAATGAATGTGATACTGCATGTTCAAAAAAATTCTTAACTGTTAACAATAGCACACTTTTTAACAGAACATCTTTCGACAAAATTAGTTTCAATGTCAAGCTAATAAATTAAATTTAATATTTCCAATAAGCAAAATACTTTTCTGCATTTTAAAATGAATTTAAATTGATTGGAAGGAGTTGGGGTTAGGGGAAGAAAAAAAAAAAAAAAAAAAACCCTGGTAAAATTTTAGCCATATTTACAATTCTCTCAGCAGAACATAATTCTCTTTATTAAAAATCTTTCAAAAATAAAATATACATTTTAAAACTTTATTTGAGTAAGATTGGCTGATTTAAATTTTAATTACATACTTTTAGTTTAAAATATCACAGAAAAATATTTTTAACAGAGGTGGGCATTTTTTTTATACAGGGACATATCTGTAAAAATTACTTGAATATAATGTGAGCAACTTTTAAATATAAGTTTTTAACTACTCAGTAATCTTAAAAATTTTGGAAATCTAATGTTTTATCGAATTTGAGGCATTTGGCTTTAAATTTACTATAGTTCCTGCTTTTATTTTCTGATAATGTCGTTTATAGCCATTTGTATTTACAAAAATCAGCATGTTTATATACATATATAAAGAAAATTCAATTTTTTTTTAAAATACTGGGGGTGGAGGTGCTGAATAGTAGCAAGCTTTTCCATTCATGATTAGTAAATATCACTTATCTAACAATACCACCTCACTGCTAAAATTTAATACAGAATTTTAAAAGATTTAAAAATTTATAAATTATTCTAAATAAAATTTAAAAAAAAGAAAAGAAAAATTTCTTGTAAAAAGTCATTGAAAATTTTTTTTCTTATGATAATAGTATCCATAATTTTTCTAATTTATAATAAGTTCTTAGTTTTTTGTATTTTTTATTTTATGATTCACAGTGGTAAAAAAAGTAAATAAATAAAAGGGATTTTAATTCTGCAAGCACTTCTGCTTATAACAAATATAAACCATAAACTGTACAAATAACAAAAATTAATTTCTTGTAATTTCATAAAATTAAGTGGGGTGTAACAGATTCTTAACAACAAATTTTTTTTACCAAGATTTTCTAAAGAAACATAAAATAATTTCATTCATTTGTGAATAAATCCTGAAAGTTTCATTAAAATCCAAGAGTTATTTGAGTTTTGCAAGAATTTTCAAATCAATGAATTTTTCACTACAAAAGACATTAAAATTTCCTATACTAATTTAGTCACCTGTTGATATAAGAAAAAAAAAATTTAACCAAAATATTGAAGGTTCTACAAAGAATAAAAAATATAATTTAATCATCAAAAAATTCTTTGGTCTTCCCTCTTAATAAAAACAAAGATTTTGATGATAAAATTTTATTAAATTTGTGACTTTTTTTTTTTTTTATTCATGAATCTGCATTTCTTAGTTAATCTTTGGTGGTATATGTGTGTGTGTGTGTGTATATATATATATATATATATATATATGAAAACCAGTTTGTTATATGCATTATAATGTATACAATTTCAGAACCAAAATATAAGCTTTTAAAAAAGAAAATATATTTAAATTTAAAAACAAAAATGTTTATATAAACTTTACTTATCAGTCAGAATAAAGTTCAATGTTTGTTAAATTTTGAATCAACTTTTACACCAATCCTATATTTGTTACATTCCAGAGTCCACAGTTCAGTTACAGAATCTGCTTGCCTTGGCAATTATTACTCAGATGACATGCTTAATGGATTTAACAGAGGTGGTGGTGTTGGTGGTGATATACATAACTTATCAAAATTTTATATGCGTATTATTGTAATAATTGAAAGCCACTTATGAGGAGGTGTTGAAAAGTCATCACTAACTCACTTTCCAAAATCACTTATTTCAATAACTAAAACATTAGAATTTTTTGTTTTCTTTTTAAAAGAAATTTGAGAAATGGTGTTGCAGTTCTGTTGAATTGGATGATTAGCTGCAATGTGTATGTTTCGTGGCTTTTCTGATCAAGGTGAGGACATAAAAAACTTACCGAATCTGTTTGCTGAACATCTGGTTCCTTGTGTACAAAACAAGACATAAAGAACCCGATCAACACAAGCAGATAATGGAAGAAGAAAGTTACAAATGTCACCATATCATAGATGATACCCTGTGAAAATAGATATAAAATATTAGAAATGTGTTCATTGAAAATATATAATTTTTATTATAAGAGATAATAATAAAAACATGTTGAAATCACTAGACAAAAGCTTTCACATTTCAATACTTTGATTGTTACTTACCATTGCCTGAAGAAGTACAATCATAGAATTGAAACATGAAAGCTTTTGGGTAGCGATTTCAAAATGTTTTTATTATAATCTCTATTAATCTGATATGTTATACCATATATATTATTATATTTTTATTATGAGAGATTATAATTAAAAATATGTTGAAATCGCTCTGCAAATACAATGTTTCAATACTTTGATAGTACTTCTTCAGGCGATGGTAAGTAACTAGTGATTAAATGATTTTTAAGGAAATTTAAAAACAAAGTGTTACCTCTTTTCCAAAAGTTAAAGGTGGTGGCGGAAGTGGGGATACATAACATCAGAATTAAAAATAAATTTGTTGGTATGGCTTGATTAACCAATTAAAATGTCAAATCCGACACTTTTGAAATAGATGCCGCATTTTTATTTATTAAGCAGTGGGTATTATGCCAATCAGCCATCGCATTTGAGAAATCTAAGTAAAGAAAAATGCATTTCCCGACAGTGAATCCCTCTTTATAGTGGAAACCAGTTTGATCCGATGAATGACAAACCAAGAAAGATTCTATTTTCCCTTTGTAAGGAAAGCTCATTCTCTTCACCCAGATTATTTTCTTGAAAGTTTCCTATCTGCTCAGTTTCATATCCGAAATGTAAACAAAACAATTTCTAAAGAAGTAACGGATTTATTTTAATTCAACATTTTTAGGGTGAAAAGGATGTGCTTCTTTCCAAAAATTAGAAAAATAGAATCTTGATTGCTGCATTGTTCTTTGTGGCCAAACTGTAAAGCATACCGGAACAAATGAGAGTTTCCTCTGCAATGCATTATTTGTTACCAAGATTTCTTGAATGCACAGATAGGCCAATAGACAGAATACAAACAGTTTATTAAATAAAAATGGCACCTCTAGATTTAAAATATAGAGCATTCACTAAAAATCCTCAGTGAGTAACCCCTTGCATCTTCATTGCTTTGGTGTGAAATGATTAAAGAAAAAAAAAACAATTTGATTAAGTTAAGCAATGTTGAGCCTGGTCAGTACCTAGACGAGTGACCATTTGGGAATACCAGGTGCTGTAAGCTTGGATATGATGTTGGTATAAAGAGTTTACAGACATATCACATTGAAACACTCCTTCTCCTACGCTCACTGAAGTTAAGCAATACCGAGTCTGAGTCAGTACCTAAATGGCCTCCAGCTTATAGATTGCACAGCAGGATAGACTGAGCAATGGTTGGCAACCAATCTACCGCAGAAAGAAATGGCAACATACTGCGGAAAAATTTTCCATCCAGTCAGTCATGAATCGAAAGAGACATGATCACCCAAGTGTGTATCACATATGACTCTTTGACTCGATCATTTTGTCAAATCATCAATAAAGGCAAGTTTCCCTCCAATAATGATCGAAATCTATTGAATTATTTAAAAGTAGTATTCATTTTCTCTTTATTGTCTCTTTGTATGTGAAGTGTAGATCAACTGAATTCGTTCTTATATATTATAAGATTCATCTGAGGAATTTAAATGTACTGACATCTTTCACATGTCATTTCCTTTGTCGAATTACTTGTTGCCCTTACTGAAGTTAAGCAATGCCAAGCCTGGTCAGTACCTAGATGGGAAGTGTAGATCAACTGAATTCATTCTCATATATTATAAGATTCATCTGATCATTCGTATTCATCTGAGGAGTGAAAATGTACTGACATCTTTCACATGTCATTTCCTTTGTCTGATTACCTGTTGGCCTTACTGAAGTTAAGCAAGGTTGAGTTTGGTCAGTACCTAGATGGGTGACCACTTGGGAATACCAGGTGTTATAAGCTTGGATGTGCAGGTGGTCTAGTGGATAACAGCTTGGAATTGGAAATCAGAGAGCCGAATTCCAATTCCAGTTGGGCCCGTTATATTAACTTACATGCCAATACCATTTTGGAAAGGCATGAATCCACTTCTCCTCCCAGTTATGGGTTAATTACTAAGACTAGTATCATTATCTCTAAAAAAAAAAAAAAAAAAAAAAAAAAAAAAAAAAAAATCTTACAAAAATATTTTCTGGCTTTAAATAAGCTGCAAAAGGTTGATAAGCCATACCCCCCCCCAAAACAAAACAAATCAATCAAGCAAACCTTACCGTATCAAGAACTTTCTTTACTTTAGCCAGGAATCTGAAGAAGCCTCCAAGAAGAAGTAAGAACCAGAACACTGTAAGAACACCAGAAGACATGACGCCGCCTTTCCTTTCAATATGAAGGATTAAAATGGAAAGTACCTGAAAGATTCAGATGCCATTCTTGTTTTAGAAACAAACAGGTGTTGAATATAGTAAATTTAGAGGTTAGATATTTTAATTTTGAAATACGTCATTCCAAGAATTAATCATCATTATTTACATTCAGACTATTGTCCTCATCTTTGATGTTGTTATCACAATGTTTCAACTGTTGTCCCCTCCAGCCTTCTTCAGGTAACCTTCAGGGAATTTCAAATTGTAACCTTTATTTAATCTATGGAAGTAAATTGTTCTCATTCCGTGTCTTGAGATATCTTGTTCTAATTTAGTACTGTTCAGTTACTGTTTGCCCTTATTTCCACCAAGTCTATGTCTGTACTGCCCGGCCCAGGGATTGAACTCAGAATTACTACATTGCCAAATTCACAAACCAACATGTCAATCTACTAGGTCATGCTTGACTGCAATCATTGAGGTTTTACTTTTCTTACTGCTGCTATTGTTGAAGCTTTGATGTCATTTCTCTTTATCTATTATTGGCTCCCATATTGTATTTATTTCTATGCTAGGCCTACTGAGAGGATTTTTTTCATAGACTAGCATATGGCATATGTGTGGATTCCTTCAGATGTCTATTGCTGTAGATTAAATATAAGGTTCTGTTGAAAATTCTCTGTCAAACTCAGCAAGCACCTGAAGACGTCTGGAAAGCACAGTGGTGAGAAATGTGATAACGACAACAAAAACGAGGACATTAGTCCAAATGTAAAAGAGAAACCTCATTTCAAGAGTTGTTTATCTCATTCTTTTTACTGTTTGTTGTTACCATGTTCCTGTCAATCCATTTTTGACCTTCATCAGGCATAAAATGTGTAACAAAGGATTTTTTTTCTTTTCTAGATAGTATATACAAATCATAAAAAAATATATATATTCCAGCTAGGGACTGTTGTCTCAATCATTGTCATTAAAAAATGGAAAAAAAAAAAAAAGTTTTATGATTTACACTTGTATTAGTGCAAGCATTTGTTTTTAAAGAGAATTGGTAGACACTACCCACCTCACAAAAAAACCTTTCTACACCTGATGAAGGCCAAAGAAGGATTCCCCCATAATACTGTAGTAAGCCTGGACCCCCCCCCATACCCCTTGTAAAGTATTTTTTATTAGATGAAGCATTTTCAATCATTATTAGCATTTTCAGAGCTGAATTGTTATAGCATTGTTGCCTGGCTATGCTGGCCCATTTGGTGGAAAAATAGGAAACTGCCATTTACTGGAAATAAATGACTACAAAGATGATGGCAATTTCTCTTGTGTGCTGCCATTTTGGTCTCAATCGGATTCTCCACAGTAGAGACTAAAGTAAATGACACCCCAACACACAAATAAAAATAAATCACACCGTATTGTATGTTTATATGTCTACATTGGTTTGGAAATAGTACTAAGTACTAATTAGTCTATAACACAAATGCTAAGGACTGATGTCTCAGTCTCTTGAAAAAATATGTATATAGCAACAGCAGACAATGTAGGATTTGTAAAATTTTCTAATCAAGTTCACAGAAGTGGAAGTGTCTGTTTTTGACTAGTATTTACTTTCATCTTAATCTGTTTCTTTTTATCATAATCTTTGACAGTGCAAGATCAGAAATAAAGGTGAAAGCAACAAAAACCTTGTTGAAGCCTTGCTGTCATTTCCCTTTATTTATTAATGGCTACCCTCCTGTATTTATTTCTATGCTAGGCCCACTGAGGAGATCCTTCATGGCCCAGTATATGTTCTGATTCCACCATAGAATTAAATTTGAATCAAAATTTATAGGTTGATCAAATTTTAGTAGTAGTAGTAACATCCATGAAAATGAACTATTTTTTCTGCTTGTATACCGAAGAATTTATGGGTAAAAAAAAAAAAAAAAAAAAAAAAGAAAGAAAGAAAGTCATCCGTAAAGGATGAAGCAAATAGTTTTATTTGGTGTAAAAGATTGAGTAAAATGAAGTCTAACTTGAAGAACATGATGTCTGACTTACCAATGTTAGGACTAAAATTGTGGGGGAGACGACATCAACAACTGGAACTTTGTACTTTTCACCCAAATATGCCACTGCATAAAACAGCTCAATCAGAGAAAGAATCAGCAGTAGTACAGCATTTACCTGTAGAAAATGAAAGGAAATATCTTTCAAGAGTAATAAACCAGAAATTGGGGGGGGGGGAACAAAAAAACTCAATTTGATTTAGAGTAACTATGGTATAACATCTGATCAATTACAATTATTGTATTAATTCTCAATATAAAATTACCAATTTTATTTTAAGCTCAATACATTTGTTTTCTTTTTAGTTAATATATAGTAAATGAATGCACAAAAATATTTTCAAATGTATAGGATTTCGAAATCATGCATTATATGTTGAATTGACAGAAGAGTTGTGTCTTAATATATATATATATATATATATATATATATATATATATATATATATATATATATATATATATATATATATATATATATATATATATATATATATATATATATATATATATATATATTTGTATATATATATATATATATATATATATATGTGTGTGTGTGTGTGTATACATATAAATATATATAATATATATCTATGTGTATAATATACAAGTATAAGGTTGGTATAGATGGAATAAAATTCTGATAACAAAAAAAAAAATTATTTTTAAGAGAGTGCTCAATACAAAGTAGAGCAAATAATATTTATTAAAAAATTATAACATGCTTATGTTACAATTTTTGAATAAATATGTGTATAATATATCTATATTTGTGTCCTAATATATCTATGTTGCATGAGAATTTTAGACATTCATCAGATTTTATTAATTAAAATAAGAATTGTACAATGGATTTTATTTATTTTATATTTTAAAAACCATTTCACTCCTAGTAAGGCAAGAAAAGCCACTAGGGTGTGAGGGGTTACTGGTAGAAAAAATAGCCTAGAGAGGACAATAAAAGAACAGAATTCACAAGGACAGAAGATGGTGACTGCATTTACGTTTTTAAAGATTGTAGTTGACAAGAAATCAGAAATCCAATACAGAGTTCTACAAGTGAGAAGTGTAAGAGAAGAAACATTTATCATAGAATCTACAGATACAACTGGCAATTTCAACAGTGATATTATGAGACCTAGCTGCCAATCTAGTACTAGACTTTAATTTGTAAAGTTGCCAGGTCAAGACAGATAACATTGCAGATACTTTGCTGTATTTTATGAAGAATCTCTAAATACATAGCAGAAGCACCAGACCAGATGTGGTATCAATATTCAATGCAGAGATAAAATACATTGACTTATACAATGTTACCCCCCCTATTTTAAAAAATAAAATCTGAATCACCCCAAGAAAGGCAGTAATGCCACTAAAACACAAGGGGTTACAGGCTGTGGAAAAATTAGGAACAGAAACAATAATGACAAGCAGAAAAAGAGAGTAATCAGGTGGACAGTAGGAAAGCATGGAGCCGGAAGGGAGTTCCACAAGCGTGAGAGAAGAAAGTGTTAGCATAGAATTTACGGCTACATCTAGCCAGCTCAACTAAAAATGATGAGATCTCAATGCCAGTACCATAGTGAAGAGCTTATCCGAACAATTACCATGAAAGTATTTGAGTCATTCAGTGTCAAATCAACAAGAGTCTGAGCATCACCTACATGGATTCTTTTTTCAAATTCAATACATTTATAGAGCATCGTGATAGAAACTGAATGGTGAATTTTGGAAACTAGTTACCATCTCTAGATCAAAGAGTTTGACCCTTGCCAAAAAGGTGAATTTTGGAAAATAGTTACAAAGTTTAAATATCAATATCTCAGTTGTTTTTTTTCACCCACAAAGCTAAATTATATACCACTTTAAAGTAGTTGGATAGATCTAATAAAGGTGACATAATTATTTTTTCGTTTGAGAAATTAAAGGTCAAATGTTATGGTCAAATTATCTTATTTGACCTTTAAACGAAAAAATAATTTAGATCTATCCAAGTACTTTAAAATGGTATATAATTTAGCTTTGTGGGTGAAAAAACAACTGAGATATTGATATTTAAAATTTGTAACTAGTTTCCAAAATTCACCATTTTGGCAAAGGTTAAAGGATCATATCTCAGGAATCCTTTGACCGAGAGATGTAAGATAGGTACCATTCAATTTCTAGCATGAAGCGCTATAAGTATACCGAATTCGAAAAAAAAAATCTGTTTTGGTGATGGTCAGAGCCTTGTTTATTTGACACAGTATGACTCATTTATAGAAAAGGTACAGAGAGGCAATCTTATGGTGGTGGGAAAGTGACTGGAGCTGAGCTGCCAGATCAGGACTTATATATTCTGACTATAACAACAATATCATTTATTAAATGAATGAATGAAAAGTATTTTTAATTCTATGAACTATTATAGGATTTGGAATAATTCATTAAATATCAAAGTAACAAGAAATGTGTGTCCTAATATATCGATGTTGTATATTAAATAGAATTTTATATATTCATCAGATTTGTTTTTTTTCAAATCATTTCACAACAAGCAAGGCAATAAAAGTCGCTAGGATGCAAGGGGTTACTGAGAGTGAAAGAAATAGAGGGGGCAATAAAAGAACAGAATTCTAAAAGACAAAAAATGATGATTGCACTTGAATTTTTAAAGATTATAGTTGACATAAAAGCAAAAGTCGGTGGAAGGTTCCTCAAGCGAAAAGTACAAGAGTAGAAACTATCAGAATATAACTTAGAGTTACAACTAGAAACTTCAACAGTGAAATTATGAGACCTAACTGCCAATCTAGTACTGTGATTAAAATCATAAAGCCAATTTTCCAAAAAGAAAAGCTTATCAGAACAGCTAACATTATTTATGGAATAGGCAGGGAAGCTACAGGTGGAGGAAAAATGACTGAAGCTAAGATGCCAGGACAGGACTGATAACATTGCAGATTTTGTCAAGAACCTCAAGATATAAAACAAAAGTAGCTGAATAGATGTGGCAGCAATATTTGATGCCTGGATGTATGGTAGACTTATAAATGTGCAAGATAGATTCTAACAAGAAAAATGATCTCACATGACATAGTGAACTGATTTTTCTAACAGTAGATTCAATATAATCCTGCCACTTCATGTCAGTGGAAGACATGAAACCATGGAGGCACAGTGAGTAGAGATCCTGGAGGATAAAATTAAAAATAAATCCAAAATTAATGTTGTGAGCAAATCCTTATAAAAAGAAATTGTCCTCAGAACTGCAAAATGGAAAGACCCAAATGGACCTGAAGTAATAACATGTAATGTGAGCATGGTGTTAGAGGTCATCAAAGTGTGGTGAAAAAGTAAATAAGGTCACATTTGACCTTCAAGAGTGAGATGGATGAAGTAAAATTTGTCCTCTGAAGTCATTGGTAGTAGAATTATTTTAGTAACCTTTATAATAGCCAAATAATTACATTTTTGAAGATGAAATGGTACAGGGGGGAGTAAAATTAAAAGAAACAAAATTACAGCATTTCAGGTCACCAAAGGTCAATTTAAGATTAAAATTTTTTACTTTGTAAACTATTGTGAAATCCTAAGAATTAAACTGGATTGGTTTTTGGATGTTTTAACCCATTTCCCACCAATTATTTTTGGAAAAAATGTTTCATTTTCAGGCAAATTATTTTTATTTGTTTACAAGATTTAAGCTTTCCATACTGCAATATCTATCACATGGAAGACTTTCTTGACTACTTCAGGAAGACTAAGAAATTGAACTCATTTCAAGCTCTGAAGAGCATAAAAAGAATCAAGATTGACATATAAACACATCTGAGGCTGGTTTTTGAACATTATGTTTTATTCATCTGTGTCTAAAAAAGACACTTTTGGTAAAAATGTATATATATGTCTGAAGGGGTTAAATATAGGAAAAAGAAAAAAAGAAATGACAAAATTGATGCAGTTGAAGAAAATCAACTTTAAGATGTTGCAACAGATAGCTGGAGAACTTCAGCTGTACAACTTAAATGACAAAATTCTGAAGCTATTCGGATCCAAATTGAGTTCATCAACTTTTTTGAGCTGCCCGACGTTCCTCCTTACAGGCTTCAATTAAAAGTTGGGATGCCCATTATGCTTTTCATGAATCTCAATCTCCAAAATTGTGCAATGGAACACATTCCTAGCTGTAAAACATGTTCCTTCAGCAAGTCTCTCAACTGATGTAGGCAAAAAAAGGTGGATGTGTTTATTGCCAGGATCACTATAATTCCAATAGATATTGAATGTAATTGACTTCAATTCACATCGAGCCTTAGTTCTTCCATAACTATCAACAAGGCACAAGGAAAATCTTGAGAGGTGTCTTTTCTCATGGAGTTAATCAGGGCCGGATTAAGACCCATAGGGGCCCTAAGCACTTAAAAGATTTTGGGGTGCCCATACATGTGCAAGTTAAGTATGCTAGCATGGAGTCTCGATAAGTAGTGCAAATAAAGGCTACCAACTGAGAACATGCATCATGGAAACACTAGCTGGAAATAAATATAGAATGAACCAAAGGCACATATGACCAAGAGAGGCTGACCATCAGTTCCAACCTAGAACAACACCAACTAAGAAAGAATCAATCACAGCTGTGAAGCCACTGTCAAATGAGTTGTTGCAGACCCAGTAGGGTGCAGTGCTGGTTTATTACTAAGTGGCCTTGTGCCAGACACCACACTAAACTACCGAGTCTACAAGCAAAGTAAAAAAAGATAAAAATGCGTGAATGAACAACGAAGTGATGTGGTTAGTCCACACATGCATAAATTAAATATATTAAGATAGCCGGCACAGAATGACAGAAAAGACTGGATTTAAACAAGAGTAGTTTTTTTATTAAATGCAAGAAAACAAGTAACTTATCCCGTGGTAGGGATCAATGAAAATGTTCCGTGCCAAAAATAGAAAACAAGATGGCTAAGGCGGGAAAAGTTCTTGAAGAAGACAGTTCCAGAAAAGTCAATCTACCAGAATAATATACATACAAGGAAAAATACTCACTGCGAGTTTTTGCTAATGTGAGTGAAATGTTATGTATATATTTTTTTAGGTACTGGTTCAGAGTCCATTGATTTGAGAGTGTATGTG